AGAGGGGCGTGCCCGGGAGTCGCTCTGTGGGCGCCGCGCCCTCGCGCCTGCGCCCTCAAACTTATTGCACGTGGCTGCCTTTGGCCCCGCCTTAACCACGCCCCCCGGGCGCGGACCGATCGTGAAGCGGGAAGGTCTGAAGTCTCAGGAGGATTTGTTCCTGGACGCTCAACTGCCCTTGGGGAAGTTTAGGGTGCTGGAGTCCCGAACCAAGTTCACATTCTGAAAGCCAACCTCTGGAGTGCGGTGCAGAGGACCACCCAGCCCATCTTGCCTAACCCTATTTTGCAGTGAAGGAAGCTGAAGCTCAGAGCGGTTTAGTACCTCGTCCATGATCTTTAGTGAGTTAGGGGTTCGAATTTGGATAATTCTAGGTTAGAATACTGGTTGTGCTCCTTGGCTGTGTGATCCTAGGCGAGGGACTTTGGCTCTCCAAGTCTCGATCTTTTCTTCTATGCCAATTCAAGGACAGTTCATTCATAGAGCAAATAAGTGTGGCGTATCTCCTATTTTACGTTATCAAGATGCTCGGGTAGACCCTGTGGATCTTACGGAAAGCAAAATAGACACACCTGCCTCATTAAACTTGCTGACGAGGGAGAACGATACATTTTCCTTCTTCAAAAAAAGGGAAGATTATATGCATACTACTCCCTGATTTAGAAAAATCCAGACAGTATCTATATATGTATTTCTGTATAAAACAACAGCAAGTTGTCAAAATTTTTATGACAACGCAAGGCAATTAGGAGTTTCTAAAAATGCTTATAAATGTAATTTATTAATATTGACTTGCAGAATATGATCTTACAAACCAGAAAATTTACAATGTGTATTTAATGCCTACCAGGCATTATATAAGGGCAAGGAATCATTTTGGGAAATAGATTTTTCTCTCGAATGGTGCAATGGATCCTTTCCCGAGGACTGAAGGTTTTCTCCGCATTTGAATCGCAGTGGTTGGGAAATTGAACCACGCTCTAGAGCGTTTATTCCAAGAATAATCCTGACCTTCTCAAGATGGCGTCAAACCGTATACGACAGGCATCACGCTCACTTCATGACTTCCTCTATGGCTTCCACTTCCCGTCCGAAGACCCAATTTCTGTCCGAGGTTGTGCCAGCACACACATGTTAAGGAGTTTTTTTTTTCTCTGACAGAGGGTTTTAGAAATATATAAAATAATAGTAATTACACGTATTTCTTGATTTTCCCTTCACATAAGGCTCCTAGTTTTCTTTTTGGTGGTAAGAAAATGGGGTTGTGATCAGGCGCGCGTCTTGGACTACTTCTGTTTCAGAGGGGTCTGGGCCAAGGGAAGACCCGGGAGTCACTGGAAACGCAAGATGGCGACGGTGGCCGCAACCTCGGCGTCGGAGCCTGAGACCGAGCCCAGAGGTGGGCCCAAGGCCGAGGAAGAAGAGGATGAAGTTAAGGCGGCTAAGACGAGAAGAAAAGTGTTATCCAGGGCTGTGGCCACTGCGACGTACAAGACCATGGGTCCAGCGTGGAACCGGCAAGAGGAAGGTGTGAGCGACAGCGACGGTGAGGAGTACGCCGAGGCTTCCTCCGCCGAGAGCTCCCCCGGCGAGTACGAGTGGGAGTACGATGAGGAGGAGGAGAAGAATCAGCTAGAGATCGAGCGGCTGGAGGAGCAGGTGGGCCCGGGGGTGGACAGCAGTCTCCTTCCGTTAGGTCCCCAGGTCTCGGCCCGCCTCCTTAATCCTTAGCGTCAGTAAAACTTCCAAGGCCACAAACCCACTATTACCCCCATGTTGCTTATTGCTTGAGCTCTTGGAACGTGCCCGGTGCTCTGCAAGCGTTTTCCCATCGGATCTTCTCCACGACCGGTGAAGCAATTGGTGTTGGCTGGGTTTCGCGGGAGTAGCTTCTTGATCAAGGTAACACTTCGGGTAGGCGTTACCTGTTCTTTAAACCAACTCCAGACCTCGTCATCTTAACCACGCCGTTGAGCAGTCGAGATGAAGTTTCATTCATAAGTTTATTTTCCTGTGGGGATAACGTCAGCGTTAAAATATGGTATAGGAGGAAAAGCATTGACCAGGACGGTAGTAGAAATGGAAAGAGAGGTTTCCGTGTTTGAATATACGTTTGAAGGCCAAGCCCCTTAAGCTGAGGTATTTCATTCCCTGTGTGCTTTGGGGGGAATTTTTCTCAGCCTGAGCTTACTTCTAGGGAATAGGTGCAACACACCTGCATCATCTAATTGTCAGAATAACCACAACCTGGTGTCCGGCCCCAGTTGTATTGTGCTCTGTGATCTGTAGCTTAATGAGGTGGTGACATCTCCAGGGTCCACGGTTCCAGCAGGCAATAGATAGCAAGTTCAAATTAGGATAATTTGAGAAAAGATCTGTGAAATGATTGCCTGTGTTTATGAAAGTATGGGCAGGGGAACCAAGAATGAACATTTAGTACTCCGTGGCTACTAATAGCAAGACTTAGTGTCCATCTTTAGGCCTGGAGATGTGCAGGGAATGATTAGTTACTTGAATAGTTGGATAGAGAGGGCACCTGAGGCTGCTGAGACCTTCTGGGGAATACGTACTGTGTCATGAGTTTCCCCTTTCTTCCCTCCACGCATCTGTTGGAGCATCCTGCTGGGTAAACGCACTTGGAAGCCAGAGAGCTAGGAAGCCCCAACATGCTGTATGCTGGGGGCACAGGATAGGGAGGAGAAGGTGGGGTGCATATGGAGGTACAAGACGTAAAAGAGACTGAGCACATTCTCGTTTTTACAGATAAGGAAACAAGGTTCAAAACAAATGAAATGATTTGTTCAGTGGCACCCGGAATGGGATTTGTATTCTTAAAGGTTATCTGTGGACCAAGTGCTGTGCTGTGTGGTTCACTTCCTCGGTGACGTGAAGTTGTGACAATCCTAGGTACTTCACCTTGCTGGTGTCATCCTCCTTATGACACGCCTTCTGGCACTGTTACTTTTCAGTTCTGAAGTAGTGATATTATTAATTGGTATAGTTTGTCTCACTTGTCATCACATGTGATCGTCAAATGAACCAGCAGGGGCAGGCAGGTGGCTACCCCCCCACCTGAGGATTGGACTCAGGAACTTGAACTTGCAAGGCAGGTATGGCACCACGGAGCTAAATCCCCAGCCCTAAATAAGTCAGTCTTAATTTATTCAGCAAATGCAGTATGATGTGGGTGCCAGGTTGATGTGTCTTTGCCCTCATTGAAATAATTTCTTTGGACTGCTAGCCCTGGACTTTTTCCTGGTTGCCCGCAAGTGCGTGTGTGTGCGTGCGTGTGTGTGTGTGTGTGTGTTGTGGGGAAAGGGGAATAGGATCACTTTTTAAAAGACAGGGTAAGGTAGGTTGGAACCAGAGAGCCGAAGTCCTTGAGGAAGGAACTCTGCTTCCTGGGCCCCGCCATAGAGCTCCCAGCCTCTGGTGCCTTGCAGTTGTCTGCCCTGCCTCGGCTCACTGACCATGCAGGATGGGACGTGGCAGGTGATCCACAGTTGAAGAACCTCCAGCCTTGCACTCTTTGCCCTGGGGTCTAGAGCAGGAAGTTTTGAATTTTTTCCTACTTCTCTCACACCACTTCTTAGTCTCAGGCTCCTTGTTCCTGCTGTAAGTACCCTTATGGTGGAGCATAATGTTGAGTGACTTCCAGATGGGTCTGTAAAAAATCTGACCCTGCCGTATTTGCAAGTTCTGATTCTCAACTGAGTATGTTTTAGGAAAGCTGGCTCTCAGAGTGGTATTTAGCCATATAATGAAAGCAGAGATTTTCCCATTATCTGCGTTTGTGTATAAACTAAAAGGCGTCTAATGGTGCCTTAGGTGCAGAACAGAGTATAGCTGTGTGACTTTGTGTGAATGCAAGCCTTCCCTGCAGTAGTGGACAGACTGTGCAAGTTGTTTCAGCTCTCTGAGCCTCGTATGTCCCAGTCGGTAAAGTGAGTGTTGTAATAACCTTCCCTCACAAGGAGATTATGGTGCTTAAGTGACACAGAGCACATAGAGCTCTTTTGACTTCTTTGGGTACATAGTAGGTGCTAAGTAAAGGCCTTTTTCATCTTGCCTTCCCCCTGACGGTGTCACTGCCTATCACTGGGGGGCTATTTCCTTCCCTCCTGGCCTGTCTGATATTTCTCAGCCCCATTCTAGTAACAGTCAGGTGTGGCATCTTTTGCATAGGGAGTTGCAAATCAGAAGATGATTTTATGCTCCTCTTTCTTTAAAGTCTTCTCTTTTTTTAAAGCATCTTGTGTCATTAATGGTGTTCTGAGCCTAGAATAGACCAGCAGGTGGACTCCTTTGTCAGTATTGGTCGAACCGTACTGAGATGTCTTTTAATGCACGGCACTTTGCATTTAATATATACTCTTTCAGAGCGCTTCTCTGTACTTCATATATCTTCCTTATTTTGGCTCCCCAAAAAGTTTAGACCACAAGCCACCTTTGAGGCACTTTCCTTACTTCAGTGACTTTTATGCCTTTTTCTATTTTCTGCTGACCTATACATGACATTCATGTTAGGGGCACTTGTAGAGACATTCCTGATGCTAACAAGTCTTCTTCCACCACTGTTCCCAGTGAAAAAGCACATCTGGACTTGGGTGTGTTGACATGGTAGTGTCATGAAGAACCTCAGATGTTCTTTAATGAAGAAAACATAGTTCTCATTAATTTCACTTAACTGCTGTGCTTTTGTGTGACACACTTGATACTCACTTTTGAAACATTACTGTGTCTTGGGCCGGGAATTTAGCTCAGTGGTTCCGCCACCTGCCTTGTAAGTGCAAGGTCCCGAGTTTGATCCCAGGTACCAAGAAAAAAAAAAAAAAAAAAAAAAATCACTGTGTCGTAAGCCACTTGAGAACCAAGAGCTGGACTCTAGCTTTTTCATGGTGCAAGCAAGGAAACAGAGCCTGAGAGGCTCAGATCACCAGTGCCCTGATTTGATCTGGAAGAAACAAGTCAGTCCATCACATGATTGCGGGATGGCTTTAGTTTGTCATGTTTTTTAGAGTAAGCAGGAGAACATTGCTAAAAGTCTTAGGGTTTTTTTTTTTTTTTTTTTTTTTTTTTAATTATCAAGTTCTTAGCTGGTATTGATTCTTCTTTATTCTGCCTGTCATTTGGTGCAAAGCAGTTTGTCTCTGTATAAGAGTTCTTCTTGAACCCTGGTTTTCAAATTGGAGATCACAGTCATGGGTCATGGATTGGCCAGTGCAAGTAGTGATACCTCTGCGTGTATTTCCCACCCACTTGGGTCTGATTCTGGGCAAATCTTCCTACTTGATTTTTTTCTTGAGATGTGTTTTGGTTTTTCCATATAAATTTAGAATTACTTTGTCATAGTCTTTTGGATTTTTGTTTAGAATTGCATGGATCTAACATTATTTAGGGGAAAATTGACACCCCTGCCATTAAGTCTAGTTACATGATAACTTAGACAAACTTCATTTATCTAAGTCTCTAATATCTTTCAGTAGGACTGGGGATTTAGCTCAGTGGCGCCGCTACCTGCCTCGCAAGCTCAAGGTCCTGAGCTCGATCTCCAGTACCAGGAAAAAAAAACACAAAAACTTTCAATAAATTATAAAAATATTTACATATAGATCTCATATCTTTCATTTGATGTATTCATAGGCATTTTCTTAGTTTTTATTTAATATGCTTCATATTGCTGTGAGTCAGGTCTCCAGAACTTTTCTATCTTGCATAATACTTACTAAAGGAGTACTCCTCTTCTTTCTCTCCCCAACTGCCTGTTAAACTCTGTTCTCCTTTTTGTTTCTATGAATTTGACTACTTAGGGTAGTCAGTTCCTTTTTCTTGTCTATTCCAGCTCAAACGCTACCACAGTGTTGAATAGAAAGTGATACTGGAGCCTTTGTGTTGTTTAAAAGGAATTTATTCTGGTATTTCTGTGTTAGGACATGTTTTGTAGGATTTTATAAGTACTTTTTAAAAAGATTTTTAAAAACATACAACTCACACACTACAATGTTTACCTGTTTTTTCCTCTCCCCCCCATCCCTCTCTCTTCCTTTAAGTTTGTTCCTAGATGTTCAGATGCCTCACAGGAGCTTTCTGAGTTAGAAACTAGTACTATTCCCCCTTTGTAGGTGAGGATATGCAGGCTTAGGAAATTTATAACTTGCCTGACACATTTTTTGTCTCCTCAGACAGTCTCTCTCGCTCACTTTTTGTTTTTGGTACTGGGGATCGAACTCAGGTCCTTGCGCTTGCGAGGTGGAACCACTGAGCTAACTCCCAGGCCCAGACTGTGTCTTTTACCCACGTGTCTTCTAACGGAACTGTGCACATGGAGGAAGTTTCACATTTGTTATAGAAGCTCCTTCCTGCGCCATTTTGTTTCCCTCCCTGTGAGGGCGGATGCTGCATTGCTCTCTCAGCAGCTCTCCCCAGAAGCACATCTGTTTGTGGCGCATCTGTGTGTTGTAGACAATGGTGACAAAAGATGAAGATATTTTGAGGATCAAATTTTAAATTTCAATTTTTGTTCTTTTTCTTTTCAGCTGTCCATCAACATCTATGACTACAACTGTCATGTGGATCTGATCAGGCTGCTCCGGCTGGAAGGGGAGCTCACCAAAGTGAGGATGGCCCGCCAGAAGATGAGCGAGATCTTCCCTTTGACTGAAGGTAGCGCTTCTGCGGTGGGGCTGCTTTGGGGAACACACAGCACTGAGGAGGGCGCAGTTCTTTTTGATGCTGAAAATAGAATATGTGCCTTATAGAAAATTTGGAACAGGTGTCAGTGGAAAGAAGAAAGCCCATCATTCAGAGTCAACTATTTTTAGTTTATTGCTTTGTAGCTTTTTGTGAAACATGGTGTGATCATACAACATGGATTCACATTTTGAACCCTGATTTCTTTTTTTTTTGTTGATTTTTTTGAGATAGGGTCTCACTATGTAGTTGAGACTGACCTGGAACTCACTATGTAGCCCAGGCTGGTCTCAAACTCACAGCGATCCTCCTGCCTCAGCCTCCTGAGTGCTGGAATTACAGGTGTGCACCACCATGCCTGGCTTGAATCCTGATTTCTTTATCCTAATACTATGGCAAAATTCTTCTGTGTACTTAAGCTTTACCCTGGTCTCTACTTCCCATTTCGGTTGGCATGTGTGTATCTTATTTTCTTAGAACCAGTAAATTGTAAATGTACTTAAACTTACATAGTTTTTAAAGCAAATGTTTCATACTTTAATTGTTCTGCAGTAGTTGCACATTTAGGTCATTTCTACATATTTGCTAATTAGAAATATAATTGCACCAAACAACTTTAGTTAAATCTTCCTGAATAATTTATAAGTGATCTCTTGGGCAGGAGTTGGAAAACCCTGTTCATAGCTCCAGCTCTGTGTGTCCCCCTCCTGCAAAGTGAAACTGCTAAGTGAAGACCGCTGAAGTCACATTGCTCAGATTCATTCTTTCCTGGTTGGACTTCTCTGTTAACTGTGAGACCTTAAGCTCATGGTGGAAAGAATTTAAGAGAACAGTTGTTTATACCTTGCAGTGCATGACAGAATAGAATGAGCTACTCTGTGTGTAGCATGTGATACTCTGTGTATGGCAGGTCTTACATCCTTCCATATTGCTGCCATTAATGCTGTCATCTACCCTACAGGTTTGAAATAAAGATTGAATGAAAAAAAATGAATATTTTACAAAAGTATAAAATGTCCAACAGGTGTGGGCTATTATTATTTGAATGATTTCGTCTTATTTGGAAGCATCAAATCTGTGTGCTTGATTGGAGGTTCAAGATTTGAACTTTGTGAACTGGGCTGGGTTGTGTAACTAAAATGGGTAAAGTGCTTGTGTCCTGGTACCTCTGGTGAAGCCTGCTCTCAGCCTGCCCTCTGCCGGGGACCTGATCATGCAGGAGGTGCTGTTGTCTCCTAGAGCTCTGGCTGGAATGGCTGCACGATGAGATCAGCATGGCCATGGACGGCCTTGACCGGGAGCACGTGTATGAGCTCTTCGAGAAAGCTGTGAAGGACTACATCTGTGAGTTCCCCGTGGAAACCAGCCCCAGGAAACTCCTCCGTAGTCCCCCAGTTGGCTGCTTTATCTTTTTAGTATTTCTGTTCCAAAAAGTTAATGGTGGGCCCCTGGAATCATTTTGTGGTCCCTGAAAAGTGACTTAGTAGGCCAAATGTGTACAGTAAGAATTAATGTGTTCCCAGTTTAGTCAGCCTGATCTTGAAGGCACAGGAGTGAGGACCTAAAAGAAAGTGAAAGGAATAGGACAACCATGTCATTTCTCTATTGTTTGAACATTATTGAAAATAGAGCTTTAAAATGTAGATTTCTTTTAATAGAGTCAGAGCTTTTAATTTAATTCTTTGACCAGATGACATAAAAATGAATCAGGGTTTGAAAGTTGAAAAATTTTAGGTTTTGAAATTTTTTATAACTGTTGCCATTGAAATTAGTTGCTGGACCCCTTTTTTTTTTGGGTGCTGGGAACCAAGCTGTATTCTTTACAGCTCAGTAGTAAAGGGTCCTTTAGTTTGACCAAGTAAACTTTATGCCTGATTGTTGTACTACACACCTACCACTTGGCATATTTTGTTTATGCTGTAAAATCCCAGTGACTATCCTTGGTAGGATGTTTATTAAGACAATTCTTTTCAGGCTGCAGTATTAGTATAGATAAATTGCGATGCTTGTTGGTTATGCTCTTACCTTTTTGGTAAGCGCATGTCTTCTGTGTGCATTTTGGTATCTGGTAATTTATGTCCTGAACTAACAGAACACTCCTCATTTTTAGGTCCTAACATTTGGCTAGAGTATGGCCAATACTCAGTTGGTGGGATTGGTCAGAAAGGCGGCCTGGAGAAAGTTCGCTCTGTGTTTGAAAGGGCTCTCTCCTCTGTCGGTTTGCATATGACCAAAGGACTGGCCATCTGGGAGGCTTACCGAGAGTTTGAAAGTGCCATTGTGGAAGCTGCTCGGGTGAGTGGACATCCGAAATGCTCCAAAATCCAAAATTTTGAGCGCTGTCATGGTGTAACCTCGTGGCAGCAGGTCGCAGTCAAACGCAGGTGTTCTAAACCTGTTGTATAAAATCACCGCCAGGCTCTGTATGTAATATGAGTTAAACTCGGCTGCCCTCCCTAAAACTTGTTACAGATATGCAGATCCCCCCAAATCTGAAGAAAATCCAAAATTCAAAACACTTTTGACACCCATCTTAACCTATGTGATTAAGTAGCCCCAGTACCTTATGTTTACAACCCTGTGGAAAAGTCTGCAGTGGAGCCTTCCACTTACCCTGACTAGGGTGTCGGGCCTGTGCTGCTTCCGACATTCGCAGCTCTCTAGCGTCAGACACCACCTCTGCATGGCCTCTGCAGCCCCTTTCCGCACAGTATTGTGGCCATCGTACTTTACTCCGACGGCTCCTTCACCTGGAAGTTACTGAGTCTGCAGGCATTCCAAGTGCCCATTCCTCTGGGAGCCTTTCTCAGTTTTCTCCTGTGTAACAACAGCTCACCCCTAAAACCACTAGCAATCCATGGGATACTTTACCTTTATGATGGTTACGTCCTGCAACACTGTAGTCATTTGGATAGGTTTCTTTTTTAAAATTTTGAGACAAAGTCCATAAATTGCCCAGGTTGTACTTTAAGATCCTCCTGCCTCAGCCTTCCAGAGCTGGGATTACAGGCATGTGCCACTACACCTGGCTTGGATATGTTTTTTCTTTCCCTGTCATAAGCCCGTAGTGACAGAAATGACATTTATTTTTGTGCGCCTCTCATTTGACATGATACCTCATCAAAGTCATTGAAACTTTTTAGTTTGAACTGAAAATCTGTTAGATGTCTTTTGAAGTAGAAAGAACTGTAGTTTGTCATTTACTACTAATTTGCTTCTTTAGCCCATAGCTGACTTCCTTTCCCCTTTTGACCGGGAACAAACCTTTGATTCACAGCTTGAGAAAATCCACAGTCTCTTCCGGCGACAGTTGGCAATCCCACTCTATGGTAAGAGAAACTGACTGGTCAGCAGCCAGTCCTTCCTGGTGTTAAAATGCTTCTGAGTATGTCCTGTGAGGAGACCTTGTCCAGCGTCCTGGGAGGCAGCTATGGCCGGTGTTGCATTCTCTGGATGAGGTCTTTAGCCAGACTTGTCTTGCGTCATTGGTGCCAGTGAAGGTTGTCAGGGTCAGTGGCAGTACGACTCTGTGACACCCTGTGGAGATCTCGGTCCTACTTGAAGACGTAGTCGGAAAGGCGAAGATGACATTTCTGAAAGAAATACAGAAACAGACTCCTGTGTTTCCTGCAGAAACTGTAAAATAAGAGTTCTGTCGTGTGTACTTTCTCTTTCCTTCACAGAGTGGTGATTTTCCGTATCATTGCTCTGTGGGGTTGAGTTGGGGGAGAGGTACAGTTGATCGAGGTTTGGGAGAGTGTCCCTTTTGGGTGAACATATTTTGGCAGGGCCAACCATTTGGCTCTGGAGCCGTGAGCCTGAGTGGCGCCAGGAGGACAGTACAGGGTGGGAGAAATTTGACACTGCCCTCTTGTCTGTCCCCTAGGCCTGGTTGTGCATTGTCTACACCCAGCGCTTCTGGGCAGCCCTGCCTGAGCCCCCAGCTGTTATTTCCCTGCTTGGGAAATAGGCTTCATGGTTCATTTGGGTTTGATCTGATATAGAAAATGAGTCTCTGATACAGTTGTTGGTTGACCAGACTCAAAGGGTTTGTAGATTTCATCTCACATACCATGTGAGACAGCTTAGCTTAGTAAGCAAGAGTGTGAACGTGGGCCAGACTGCCTGGTTTGGAGACTTGCTGTGTTTCTTGTGGCTAAGTGACTTACCACACCTCTGCTTCCGTTTCTTCAACTGCAGCATGAGGATTACAGTAGCACCTTCCTTACAGAATTGTGAGGACTGAGGGAGAAATGGACGTGAAGTGCTAGAAATGTAGGTGTGAAGCCCTGGGTCAGCGATGGTGAACCTTTTAGTATGTGTGCTGCGGAAGTGAGCACCGCGGTGAACCTTTTAGAGCTTTCGGTGGTGATGAACAGCCCGCCGAGGCGCACATGCCACACATGGGTTTGCCACCACTGCGTGGGGTAGAAAGCCTCGTGAGTATCGTTAGAGTGCTAAAGTGCTGCTGATACTGAGCTGCCAGGTTTCACCTGAGATAGATTCAAATGCCAGGTCTGGGGCTGATGACACCAGAGTCTTGTGGCTTTTTCTGTGCTTTGGTCGCTAAAACCCAAATAGCAAGACCCATAGGGCTGAACCTCTTTCAATAGATATGGAGGCCACATTTGCAGAGTATGAAGAATGGTCGGACAACCCAGTGCCAGAGTCGGTCATTCAGAACTATAGCAAAGCCCTGAAGCAGCTGGAGAAGTACAAACCCTATGAAGACGCGCTGGTGAGTACCGGCCGCCTTCGTAGTCAGCGTCTCTCTCACACCTCTCCCTGATTGATAGCTGTGAGTTAAATGCTATCTTAAAGTCTGTTTATTGTGAAGTATATAGAGTGTATAAATGTATACGTGCAGTTTGCATCCTAATAATAAAGCCAACATCCATGTACCCACCACCCAGGTTAAGAAATAGAACATTGCCAGTACCTTAGAAGTCTCCTATGTGCCCCTCTCCGATTGCCTCCTCCTCCCTCTCCCGAGAGGTAATCACTTTCCTGACTTTTGTGATAATCATTCCCTTGCTTTTCTTTATAGTTTTACAGCCCATGAATGTATCCTTAATGATTATATTGTTTAATTTTGCTTGTTTTTGAACTTTTACGTAATAGATTCTTGCTGTATATCTTCTTTTACCCAGCATGTTTTTGGGTTTTACTCATGTCGATAAGTATTGTTCATTTATGCTCACTGCTGTAAAGCTGTCTGTTTACTGCAGTTTATTCAGGGGCCGGCTAGTTGGATGTTTCCAGGTTTTTGCTAGGAGGAGCAGCATTGCTCTGAACATTGCTTTTCTGTCTCCTGTGCCCATGATTTGTTTCTCTAGAATATGTTATGGGTCACAGGTGATACCGAGGTGTCCCCAGGTTGTCAGCGTGCCTTCCAGCCAGCAGAATCTGCAGTCTCACTTCTGCTGACCTTGTATATTGACATACTTAAATTTTAGCCGCTCTTTTTGAAATTGTGGTTTTACTTTGTTGTTGTTGTTGTTACTAAAGCTGTTGAGCAGCTTTTCATGTTTATTAGCTATGCAAATTTTCTTTTTGTAAATTGCTTGTTAAAAGCCAGGTCTTTTAAAAAAACTTTTGGTTTTGTTTTCATTTTCCTTTTTTTTCTAATTGACTCTTTGGAGTCCTGGGTCTTAATCCTTATTTTTGGTTGCATGTACTGCAAAATTCCCTCCCAGTTTGTGTCTTATCCCCTGCCCCCCCAAGGTATATTTTGATAAATGGTTCTTAATTTTAATATAAGTGGATTTATTGATATCATTCTTTCTCTTATGGATTGTATTTTTGTGGTATACAAAAAACTGTTGTTCATTTAAGAACTCTCGTGTACTCAGGTCTTTAATGTATTTAGCTCTATTTTCTTCTGAAAGTTTTATAGGCCTCCATCCACCTGGAAATGGTTTTTGTGTATGGTATGAGGCAGGGCCCAGTTTCATTTTCTCATGTGGAGAACCAGTTATTCTGATAACTGTGTCCTCCATTCCTGGGGTACAGTGCCACATCTGTCCTAGATTAACATCCATTATGTGCCTGTCTTCTGGTTTGTATTACACTCTCACAGTGATGATGGCTCTGTGATGTTTGATGTGGGATTGGATGAGTCCTGTCTGCCTTGGCCCTCTCTAGAGAGTCTTGGCTTTCTGTAGCTGTTATAGGTGCTTCTGTCAAACTTAGAATCAGCTTTTTAAAACTCTCTCTTTTATTTGATTGAAATTGAATCTGTAGGTCAATTTGAGGAGGAATTTATGTCTTCCAGTCTGTGACCATGTATGTGTGTCGGCCATTTAAGTCTTATCTTTCTGTAAAGTTGTCTGATAATTTTACAAGTTCATCCAGTGTCTTGAAAACATTTATTTAAAACATTTTTTAAAGATGTATTTCAAAATGGTTTTTGATATATTTTTAAATGATGTCTTTTTTTTTTTTTTTTTGGTTTTTTGAGACAGCGTCTCACTACATAGTCGAAACTGACCTGGAACTCACTGTGTAGCCCAGGCTGGTCTCAACCTCACAGTGATCCTCCTGCCTCAGTCTCCTGAGTGCTGGGATTACAAATGTGTGCCACCACACCTAGATGATGTCTTTTAAAGACTTACTTTCTAGTTATTCTTGGCATATAAAATGCCATTGTTATTTTATATTTTTAAATCTAGCAACAATAAATTGTTATGATTAAAGGGTTTTTTTGAGTATTCTGTCATGGCAATATTTTTATTATTTATTTATTTATTTTTTTGGTTTTTTTGAGACAGGGTCTTGCTATATAGTACAGGCCAGCCTTGAATTCAGTATATAACCCAGCCTGGCCTTGAGCTCACAGTGATCATCCTGTCTCAGCCTCCTCAGTGCTGGGATTACAGGCATTTACCACCATGCCCAGCTATGATACTGTTTAAATGTCATTTGCCCCTTTCTTATTATTAGAACACTCTGTCATCTGCTGTGTCTCAGACTTACACTCTTATTTTCTTGAATTTATCTTATGTTTTTGACCCACCGGACTCCTTGTTAATTTTATATTATACAGTCCCAGTTTGTTCACATTTGCTAGGTGCATTTCATGCTTGCTTTGCTCTTCTTGTATCCTAGATCTTTCATCTGAAATTATTATTATTATTTTTTTGTCTTGTACAGTCTGTGGAGTCTCCTACCTGGAGATTTGTTGGTAACAGATCTTCAGTTTTATGTGTCTGACAAAATCTTTGCTTAGCTTTGCTTCTTGAAAGTCATTTTCTTAGGTTATAGAATTCCTCACTGCAGGAATGTTCTCTCAGCAGTGGAATACAGCTTTCTGTCTTCTGGTTTCTGTTTTTGCCCTTGGGAAGTCAACCGCCTCATAGTTTTTTCTCTGGCTGATTTTAACATCTTACTGGTTTTGTTTGATACCTACAATTTCATTACCATAGATCTTGGGAGTGATATCTTTTTATTTATCCTATTTGAGGTTCACTGGACTTCTTGACTCTGTTTTTGATATCTTTCTTGGTATGTTGAGTTAGAGTGCAGCCCCTTTTGACTTAGGTTTGAATCCTAGCTCTGCTGCTTACTGACACTGACTCTAGGGTAGTACTTCAACTCTTTGACTCAGTTTCTTTGAATGTGGGGTGAGTATGATGATGAGATCTATCTCATAATTGTTGTGAATATCAAATTCTTAATGTACGTTAAGCCAGTAGAGGTTTCCATTTTTGCTTGGCTTACTGTCCTCAGATTTTATGCTCAGTGTTTGTTTCTTTGCCATTTTGTCGATGATTTTTAAGATTGTTTTTTGTTTTGTTTTTTTTTTTTTTTTTTTTTTTGGTACCAGAGATTGAACTCAGGACCTTGTGTTTGTGAGGCAGGTGGCAGAACCCCTGAGCTAAATCCCCAGCTCTAAGATTGTTTTTATGTTAGAAATTTTTGTTGTTAATCAATGCCGTGGAGTATCTGGATAACTAATCCACCACCGTTAACTGGAAACCAGGGCTCTAAAGCATTGTATTTTTATGTACAGAGCATGTGTGCTTTCTGGTCAGCCAGCACAGGGCCCCTCACCCTTTCCTTTTAACATAAATGATTTCTATGTACTTGAGTTTCACAGTGTCCTCAGCCAGTTTATTTTTGTTGTGGCCATCAGCAGAATGGCTGAAGAGAAAATAAGTTGAATAAGAGGTTTCTGTCCAAAAAGACTTGTGATTGTGTGTCTTTGGCTCAGTAAACATTCAGCCCAGCCTCTTCTGACTTTTGCTTGTACCTGTACTATTGTAGGACTGGTATTCGGAGCAAGCTACCAAAATTACATAAGATAATTTCCCACTCTGATTTCCATCCCTCCACTTTGGATGGGTGATTAGCGGTAGGATGACTGGCTGAGGTGTTGCTCTTTCCTTCATTTTCTGGTGGTTTGGAATACACCGTGAGAAGGGTTTTAGAGACTTGCTAACTACTGCCCTACTTTGGACCAAGTGGGAAGACACTCATGCTACTCGTCAAATTATAGATCCTGTTGTAGAGTAGTTTGAGAGAGAGGATTTTGTGATTCTTGTGTAGCCACTCTCTCCAACATTTATTTTATTTGAAGATGCTTTGTGCATCTTGACAGTGTCAAGTAACTAAATTTTGTTTCAATGTGATTTTCCTGTGCTCCAGTTGCAAGCAGAGGCACCAAGGCTGGCAGAATATCAGGCATACATCGATTTTGAGATGAAAACTGGTGACCCTGCTCGTATTCAGCTGATCTTTGAGCGTGCCCTGGTGGAGAACTGCCTCGTCCCAGACTTATGGATCCGTTACAGTCAGTACCTAGTAAGATGGCTGTTCTGATTTTATTTTGTTTGTACCAGTTTAGAATCTGTTTGAAGGTAGTCGGTAGGTGTGTCAGGCATTGGTTTCATGCTTCCCCTTTTTCTTCCGTCTTCCTCTTCTCTTTGACAACTTGCTTAGGAATTTTTTTCTCAAGTTTAAAGTTATTTTAAACTGATCATTAGCTGTACTAAAATTTTGCTTATAGCCTTATCATTGAGGACTTTATAACAGATTTGTATTTTTTTCTATAATTTTTTATTAGGAAAAAATAAACATAAAGGTAGATTAGTAAAATGAAGCTTCAGAGCCCTATCGCCCACCTTCAGCAGTGATTAACAATTATGACTCTGGTCTTTTATTATAGTTCCATGTCTGTCCTTACCTATTTCCTTCCCCCTTCTGAGTATTGTCAAAGAAATTCAGAAATGATATTTCATTGATATGTATTTTACTCTGTGTATATAAAAGGTTATTTATGTACAAAAGGATATAGAAAAAGTCCATGCAGTAGGATCCGTTAATGTCTGTTAAGGCTATTTTGACATATAGGTTCTTCTCTTGTCCCTGTCTCTTTTTCTCCATTACAGTGGTAATTTCTCTGTTGAAGAAACCATGTCACAGGAGACATTTCTTTTGTCACTTGATTAGGCTGGCAATGTTTCCTTGATGATGAAGTCTTAAGAAAACTTCGTTTTCTAACCCTGGAATTCTTTATCATAGGATCGGCAGCTGAAAGTAAAGGATTTGGTTTTATCTGTACACAGTCGTGCTGTTAGAAATTGCCCTTGGACAGTTGCCCTGTGGAGTCGGTACCTCATGGCCATGGAGAGACACGGAGTTGATCATGGAGAAATTTCTGGTGCGGATATTTTTGTGGGAAGACTTCTAAGTTCTTTGCCCGAAGTGAGAAACAGAAGTGTGGTGAACTCACTACATCAGCAATCTGCAGGGAGTTCTCTGGGATACTGAGAATTAGTGACAAAAGGGCTGTAAGTGAGAGATACACTGGTTATAGTTTTGGCTTCCTCTAGCTTTTTCATATGCTGATAGTCATTGTGATATTCTAGGAAGTTCTGGTCTTTTTTTCAGACTTGTTTGACCTGGGACTCTCATTGCAGTGTCCTGTGGAATGAGTCCTTTCTAGAACAGTCCTTTCTGGAACACACTTTCAGAAGCACCATGGGAGCTTCTCTTTTGAGCATTTTTCTCTTGCTCATTTCCCCTTGTTATATCCTCTTATGACTATTTTTAAAAATCATGTATTTTATAGTAAGTGGTTTGAGAACTTTATATGAGCTTCGTTTTGAGATGGCAGTGAATCCTGACCTTTTCCTCCAACTCCAGTGACCTTCGAGAAAGCTTTGAACGCTGGCTTCATCCAGGCCACAGATTATGTGGAGATTTGGCAGGCGTACCTCGATTACCTCAGGAGAAGGGTTGACTTCGGACAAGGTACTTAAATGCGTGAGTTTCCATCAGGACTGAACTTTTCCTCAGCATATCTTTGGTGTGATGTTCCTCTTCCCCCAGATGCATAATTGTTTAAATGGTGAAGACCAACCAGCCCCCCACCCCCAATTTTAGCAACTTATGACACTAACAGTCAGGCTGTGGACTGGTAAAAGAGGTTGATGGTTATGTTTCATACCTGTTCTTCCAGCCTCAGTAGCCTTGTCTTTCCTTTATTACTTCTGTCCCTTTTATAAAACCCACATAGTTCAAAAAATAATAGTACTGTGTTTCTTGTACATCTTTGAACCTCTGCAGGACCCCCCTCCGCCCCCCATCCAGGAGGCCCTGACTTGTGCTAATGCTAGCCTCAGCTGTTCCACTGTTGACCCACATCACCCCACTTGGGGCGACCCCCTCTGCCCCCGGTCCCCCACAGCACCTTGTGCTCACTTCTGTCCCGCTGTGCCACATTCCTGTTTCTGTCTCCTGTGCTGTGTGGTGAGGCACAGATTGGCAGTTTTATTTCTGTGCCTTCTGTGTGCAGGCCGTGTTGATTCATAGTCTTTTTTGCCATTTCCAACAGACTCCAGTAAGGAGCTGGAAGAGCTGCGGTCTGCATTCACGCGTGCTTTGGAGTATCTGCAGCAAGAGGTTGAGGAGCGTAAGTCTGGCCTGGCCTGCTTTGCCCATTCATATTGCTGTTTGGAGTTGATAAACCTTTTCAGCCAAGGGGCATTTGCCTCAGAATTTCTAATTTTCGTTAATTCCATTCCTGAAGGTTTCAATGAGAGTGGAGATCCAAGCTGCGTGATCATGCAGAACTGGGCAAGGATTGAGGTAAATGTTTTTGACAAGTCTGTCTCATCCACCTTTGGAAGGACCTTTGTTTAATTTTTTTTCTATTAAAGATGAAATAAAAGTGAGTTGGAACCCCAGGTCGTGGTCTAGGTGCTACAAGAATTTGTATTAGGAACCATGCTTGGTGCACATTTCTTTATCTTGGCGACATTAACTCTGGGCTAGAAGTCGTGCAGCAGATGTGCTTGTGCAGGGCGGTCAGTCACTCTTCCTGTCTTCACTCCCTTGTTGCATGTTCTGTGTGCACTGTTTGCCAGCTCTGCCAGGTGCAAGGAATCAGATCAGTATGGCCTTTGCCTGCTAAGGCTTTAGTCTCGAGTGGAAGATGGGTGAATTGATAAATCATTAAAGTATATGATTTACTGTGTGTCTCTGCTGAGCCAGGCTCACCCAACTGAAACGTGGAACCTTAATTACTTGTTAGGATTATAAAATTCTAAGCATGTTTTACATCTGAGGGGGTGTAAGGCTGAGAAATGACATTTGTCAGATCATTTCTGCATGGGATGTTTGTGATGTGACCCTTCTACGGGTGAGGAAACTAAGGTTCAGAGAGATTAGGTCACTTGCCCAAGTCACGTAGTTTGTAAGTGGAGGCTGTGGCATGTAGTTTTAGATCAGTCTTTTTTACTCTATAGTGCTCTCAAACACTTGCAATTAAACTTAATTTAAAAAAAAAAAAGAAGAAGCACCATGTGCTGTCATGTGAATGCAGGGGTCCTGCCCCATTCACAAGAGGCTTAGGTCTCTGGGTCCTTGTCCCTGCAGAAGGGGAGGAAGGGCCAGTCTGGGCTGTTACCACTGGAGCAGCTGGGTCTGCTTGGGATTCATGGGGCTTCTTAGCTATGTCTATCTCAAGTTCGTTTCATGTGGCTCTTGGTGCCTGAAGATTCGGGTCCTTCCCCGACTGATCTTGTTAATGCATTTTAGGCTCGGCTGTGCAATAATATGCAAAAAGCACGAGAACTTTGGGACAACATCATGACCAAAGGAAATGCCAAATATGCCAACATGTGGCTTGAATATTACAACCTGGAAAGGTAACTGGCCTGGGGGTGAGGAGGGGCACCGTGCTGGTCAAGGGAACACCTGTTCTCTGTCCTGGCTGGCTGTCTGCCTCAGTCTTCAGAGTGGGTTCCTTCTGTCATCCTTTTGCTCTTGAGGGTGCACTGTGATCAGGCAAGGATAGAGAACCAAGCAGTACTATAGCCTGGGGCTCCTATAACCATGGATTTGATTTGTTTTTATTTTTGGACAGGAATGTTTTAACTTTTTTTTAGCTTATTTTTTTATTATGTTTCCTGTTTTTTTTGTTTTGTTTTGTTTTTGGTACCAGGGATCGAACTTGGGCCCTTGCCACTTGAGAGGCAGGCGCTGAAACCACTGAGCTAAATCCCCAGCCCTTTTTTGGTTTTTTGAGACAGGGTCTCACTTCGTAGTTCAGACTGTCCCTGAACTCATTATGTAGCTCAGGCTGGCCTCAAACTCCCTGAACTCATTATGTAGCTCAGGCTGGCCTCAAACTCGAGGCAATCCTCCTGCCTCTGCCTCCTGAGTGTTGGGATTACAGGCGTGAACCACCATGCCTGGCTATGATGTTTACTTTAGAGGAAAGTAGGAAATTCTAAAAAACAGAAGAACACTCAGATTTCTTAAAATCACTGACCCAAACTGTTAGTTTGGAATATATTGAGACTTTTTGTTGTTTAGATTACTTATAAATGAAAATGTAGTAATAGCATACATGTTATGTAAGACTTTAAAACTGGATAAAATAGGATATGTTCAGTAATATTTGTAACATTAGTAGTTTATAAGGAGTATGAGCAGATTTTTTATTTTTTATTTGAGATAGGACCTTGCTATGTAGTTCAAGGGTGGCCTTAGACTCACTGTGCAGCCCAGGCTTGCCTGGAACTCTTAGCGATCCTCTTGCCTCGGCCTCCCAAGTTGGCATGTGCCACTGCACCTGGAGAGTATGAGCAGCTTTTCTATTCAATATTTGAATATTGTGTGTCAGTAAATAAATTTCCATTTCTTAGTTTCTGAATTTTTTTTTTCTGTTTTAAAAATGTGTGACCAAATTAAAATAGATCATTTACAAATATGTTTATGTTGGTATTTACCGTATTGGGAAATAAAACAATTTTTAAAAATGATATTCATTTAAAAAGTGAATCCACTTCATTTAACTTCATTTAATGTGGTCATCACCCTCCGAGTGGCTCAGGGTGACTTTCATGAGGCTCTCACTGTGGGGCCAGGCTCTCCTGCAGCTCTGAGACTCGAGCTACTAGGACTCTGCAAGTGGCCTTTGTGTAGGGCTTCTCATAACTCTTTGTGGTAGGGACTGTCCTGTACACCACAGGACATTTAGTCACATATTTTTCTGAGATATGACTATATTTTCTAAACCCTAAAATAATTTAGTGAGAAGAACAGAATACTTTTTGCAAGTATATTTGGGCTCCCTTCGTTTAAAAGACAACTAAGGGCTGGGGATTTAGTTCTGCGGTACAGCGCATACCTGGTGACGGCAAGGTCCTGAGTTTGATCCCCGGTACCAAAAAAAAAAAAATCCCAAAACAAAACAAAAACTGAATTTTTATGTCTGCTTCTACATCATTCTGATGTGATACATAGTTTTCATTGAGGTATATGAAAAACTGTGACCTCACATATATGTGAGGTTAGGAAAGAAAGGCATATTTTAATACCCTTTCAAATAATTGTGAATATTCTCCTTGTATACTACAGCAAAACTCGACAAGTGATAGTTTCTTAAAGGTCTTGTAGAAAGTAGGACCTGAAATGATGTTAATGGTGTTTCCAGTTCTGTTACATTATCGTCTGTTTGTCCATTTTGCACTTTGAATGGACCTTTTACTTTTTACCTGATGCCAAATCTTCTGTGACGTGCATTATTCATTTGGAAAATCCTGATCCCCAACTTTATACAGCTTTTTCAAATGATGTCACATTTTATTCTACAGTTTTAAAAAAAATTGTATTTGTGGCTGGGCTTTAGCGCAGTGGTAGAGTGCTTGCCTAGTGTGCCTGAGGTCCTGAGTTCCATCCCATGGGCCAGATATACATACAGATGTATTCATTGCCTCACAGATTTTAGTAGAAAAGTCTTTTAAGTAGGAATCTGTCAAGCTCAAAGTGGCAGAAACAGATTTTCCAAAATTCTAATTTTCATTTGCAAGCACCAATTTTGTCACTTGCCACAGTAACCTCAGTGGTTTTCCTTGAAGTGGCATACTTCATTAATTTTCAGAAATAGCTGCCGAATACACAGATCCGAGGAGCTGTAGTTTGTCACTCAGCTGCTCTTTCAAGGAAAAATGGTGTTCTTTGAAAAAAGCGACTCTCAGCTTACAGCTCAAACAATAACATTTTGTTTCACAGCCACCACTGTCCTTCATTCAGTATGCATTCAGACATTTTATGTGTGTACTGTATTTCCCATTTCATCACACGATCCTGCAAAGGTAGTGCCTTTGTGCTAAGGGCCGCTATTGCTTTTATACTATCCTTGCAAGTGTCAACACAATAGAAAAATCCATCTGTTTTGGTATCATTGTAAAAAGAGCATGAGAGAGAGACCAGAGGCCTCAGGGCAAGTGGACCATCCTTTGAGGACCACTCTGAATTTTTTCTTAGTTATCCTAAGACATATTTACATATGTTTATACCTCCTTAAAAATCAGACTGAGCATACAGTCTCATAACTGTTGTGGTTAGCAGCATATCTTTCCATGCCAGTCCACAAAAGTTGACTCTAGGCATGAAATTTGATCATTGCCTAGATGACTGTTTCTCCTTTCTGGTAGGACTGCACAGAATTTCTCTAGGTACTTCATTGAATGACCTAGGATTGATGGACCACCTCCTTCTTACGTGTTAGAACTGTGTGAGTGCTGTAAAGGCTGAGAACCTGGCTGCAGTCACTGCCCTGGGTGGTTTTCCAGGGTCATCTGCCTGACCGGACAAAAGAATGGCTTGGAGGCCACCTTCTTTTCAATAGAGTGACTGTGGAGCCGTGTGGAGGAAGGAGAAAATCACAGGTGGTTCTGAAAGCTGGATCCCCAGATTAACCCCATCAGAGAGCATCCACCTGTGTGAAGACAGCCCCTCCTTTCCTGTACCTTTTGCTTTGTGCTCTGGGCTGCAGCTGTTGCTTTCTGTCCTAGGGCGCATGGGGACACGCAGCACTGCCGGAAGGCTCTGCACCGGGCTGTCCAGTGCACCAGTGACTACCCCGAGCACGTCTGTGAAGTGTTGCTCACCATGGAAAGGACAGAAGGTGGGACCCTCAACCCCAGCTTCCTGCTTAGAGCCTCACCTGCTTGCCACTTGGTCTCCAGTTTGTGTGGACACACTGTGGTTGGGGCCATCACCCTGCAGGTGGCTCTGGTTATCATGAGGCCTTCACTGTGGGGCCAGGCCCTCCTGCAGCTCTTAGACTTCGGCTACTAGGATTCTGCAAAGTGGCCTTTGTGTAGGGCTTCTCTGTCCTTTGTGGTAAGGACTGTCCTGTACACCGCAGGACATTGAATCCATTTCTGGCTTCTGGCTTCTGCCTTTTAGATGTCAGTAGTAACCCTCCTCATCCAACCAGACTTGACAACCAGAAATACCTCTGGACATGGCTAACTCAATGCCCCTGGGTAGGGAGGTCCCCACTGGAGAACCACTGCTCCAATGTTATGGCCGCATCCCTTGAAGAGTGCCAGAACCTTCAGTGTTAAGATGTAGAACTGAAATAAACAAAACAAAAAAAAAACCACAACAAAACACTAGGGGCTGGGGATTTAGCTCAGCGGTTCGGTGGCCTGCCTTGCAAGCACAAGGACCTGAGTTCAGTCCCTGGTACCAAAAAAAAAAAAAAAAAGCTGTAGAACTGAGACAAGGAAATAGCGTAAATTCGTCTGTGGGCATCGGTCGAGATTTGGGGTGTGAGCCCTAGGGGTCAAATACCTGATCAATAGTAGAAACACTACCTCCGCATTTGAGTAGCTTGACAGTCTTTGGTCTTCTGTAACTGTCTTGTGCTTCCCCATCAGAGTATTGTCGGAATTGTGGCCATTGAGAGCCCGCAGCCCATCAGGGGTTGTTGAGTCACTTTCCTGTTACTGGGACAAAATACGTGACATCCACAGCTTGGAGGAGGAAGAGGAGAGGTTTATCTTGTCCTATGGTTTTTAGAGGATTCAGGCTATGGTCAGCTGCTCCAAGGCAGAAAAGGCATGGTGGAGAGGCCAGGAAGAGGGAAGATACTCATCCCATGGTAACTAGGAAGCAGAGGGAGAAAGAGGAGGAGCCCAGGGCAAGAGTAGATCCTTTCTGGTCACACTCCCGGCAGCCCACCTCTAACCTGGCCCCATCTCCTGACGGCAAGTCTGCTGTGGTGCCCCTGTGATCTCATCACCATCCAAACACAGCAGACTTTGGGGGATATTTTAGATGCAAACCATAACGTTATGGTCATACTCTGCTTCCCAGTCTCCTTTTTCTGTTCTCCCCTCCCCTGTTCCTCCAGTCTCTTCTGAAAGAGCAGAACCATAGCACACCCAGGACGACTGTTTGAGTTCTAGTCTTCAAGCCTACATTCTTAAAGGAGGGGCTCCTTCTCCAATTCTTGCTGTTTGAAGGGAGAAACCTCTTCTTGAAGTGTGGGAGATTAAGAAAATTATGTACTTACGCCCTTCAGAAACTCAGGGAGTGAGAGTTTCCCTTCTCTTTCTATCAAGGTACTTTAGAAGACTGGGATACAGCTGTTCAGAAGACTGAAACCCGGTTAGCACGCGTCAAAGAGCAGAGAATGAAGGTAATGAGTGGTTGTCTGGAGGCTTGGAACCGCTCCTGGCCTTTGGGGCTGTTACAATGTTTTGTCAAAACATTATAGGTCTTTCTAAGAAATCTGTTTTACTCATAGACTATTATAAAATTAGTTGAGTTTCAGTATTTGAATTTCTGTCATCATTTTCATTTAGTTTCAAACTGGCTCAGACAATACTTTTTCACATAGTGGGAATTTGGGGCCTAAAATTTATTGGAGCAGGTGAGAAAGAGTAGAGGAGCCTTACCTGACCTATGAGTGGTTTGTGAGCCTCCAACTTACTTTGCGCCCCAGTTTTTTTGTTTTTTTTGAGACAAAGTCTCACTTCGTAGTTCAGGCTGGCCTCAAACTCATAGTGATCCTCCTGCCTCAGCCTCCTGAGTACTGGGATTACAGGTGTGCACCACCACGCCTGGGTAGACCCCAGTTTTACAGGTTTTCTTTCTGTCTGAATGATGATGGAGGATGCTGGTGCACTGTAGGTCCGAGTCCCGAGAAGCGGTGGGGTGGTTGTGAGCACCCTCCTCGCCCTTTCCGTGGCCGTCGTCTCAGGGCGTGGTGAATCCCCAGCCTGCGCTTCCATTTCTCAGCTCACGACAAGCTGGACAGGCATCGTAAGCATCTCCATGCCCAGTGACCCATTTTGTTGCCACTTTTCTAGGCTGCTGAGAAGGAAGCAGCCCTGGTGCAGCAGGAAGAGGAGAAAGCGGAACAGCGGAAGAGGGCGAGGGCTGAGAAGAAGGCGCTGAAAAAGAAGAAAAAGCCCAGAGGTGCAGACAGGCCCAGAGAGGAGGAGGACGAGCAAGAGTGGGGTGACGATGACGGAGGTAGGAGGCTGCGTAGAAACACCGCAGACTTGGGCCGCACACACGGCGCGGACAGCTGTGTTCCTGACCCATGGGAGAGTCATCTGCCAGCCCAGCGCCCCTTGAAGTTCTGTGAGGCATGTGTTTGTGATGCTGTTCTCCTGTCAGTCGGCTCAGCACCGGTCTGTGCCCACGTCGAATCCCCAGCTCCCGCCCACGGCCTGCCGTCTTTCCTGGTAGTAGTGACTTTTGTAATTGAAGGGTGCAATTCAGGGTAGAGATTGTGTTTAGCCGTTGTGCCTTGATTCTCCTTCAGTCTGCGATGTGCCTCCGTCTTCCTTTGACTCTCGTGGCCTGGACACTTGAAGGGGACAGTTCAGTTACTTCTAGAATGTCCTTTGGGATTAGATTTTGGGTGTGCTGCTTTGGCAGGAGCAGCGTGAGAGTCACTCCGTGTTCTTGCTGTGTTTCATTGGGTGACGTGGTTTCAGTGTGTCCCTGTACTGGTGGGGGTTAGATTAGTGGTGGCTGCCTTGTTCCTCCACTGCACAGTTACTTTTTTACTTTTGGTTAAGCCTTTAACCAAAGTATTTATTTCTCATCAAGCTTCCACATTTTTCATGTTCTTCTGTATCATTGATTGTGGATTCCTGCCTAATTCACATCTGTAATCTGTGAGTAAAGTTTTATAGGTTGACCCTTTACTTTTTCTAGTTTGGCTAGCAGGAGCCCCTCATGCAGGCTTCTGTGGCCCTCTGACGTGGTGACTGATGACTGGTTGCTTCCTTAGTCTCAGTTGTGCAGTACCCCAGGCTCACCTTGTATTTCCTGTGACTCAGTCCTGCAGACTGCCATTCTCTCCAGGGCTCCTAGAGTGGCAGGCGGTACTTAGCAGGTTATGGGCACGCTTGCCATGTCAACAGCTGCAAGCGTGGAGCTAGGGAGTGTGTTTACACCCTCTTTTACTAATGTGCTCTCTGATGTGTTGAAAACCATGCGGTTTTGCAGGGTCCTGTATTCTCCCGAGAATGTTACTCCCCAGCGGTTTGGGTATCCTTCTTATACCCTTCTCTGGCTTTGAGGGCCTGGCTCTGTTATCATCAGCTCAGTCACTTCTGCTGATCTCCTGTGGACGGAACCAGCCTGGCCCTGCTCCCTTCTGAGTGGGCCATTCCATCTCTACACACCCTAGGGTTTCCAGGGCCTGGTGCTGGCCCCTGCATTGCAGACATCCTTGCCCCTCCACCAGGCTTTCATGTCGTGGCTCTCCTGCCTGGGTGTCCTCTCCCCGGTGCGCTCCCATACCCCGTGGTGGTTTCCCGTCACCACTGCACCGCTGCTCAGCCCACCCTAACGGGCACCTGCCTCAGTTGGTCCATTGAGTGAATTTCACTCGATTGACTTTTCCAGTTCATGTTTCTGTCATCCACATAATTTCAGGGAGGGCTGCTCTGGGTCAGGTTCACTTTGGTAAAGTCAGGCAGGGTAGAGAATTGTCTCAAGACATTAAAGGATGCAGAACATTTTCCTCGTCTGCTGTGTCAGTAGACGGAGTGGCGGTGAAGTCGTTTAATTGCCCGTCCTCTTGTGCCATATTGGGACCTTCAGAAATGACACTGGTGGCCTTTTTCCTCTCAGAGCCTGGAGTCAGCATGGTGAGGCAGGTGGGACTTGGGACCACAGTGTGTGCAGTCAGGGCTGTGAGAGATGAGGTGGGCTGTGGGGAACAGCATGCGGTGGGTGGGGGACAGTGAGGATTGTCCAGAGGAAAAGAAGGGGAGGAGAGCTGTGCCGAATGGAGTCGTGGAGGCACAGGATGGCCTGGTGTTTTCTGGGTGCTGCAGAGTTGGGTTTGTGCTCAACTGGCAGGAAGCCGGAGCAGGAGTACAGGCCAGCCAGGCCCCGTCCAAGGCACTCTTGCCTTTGCCTGCAGGGTGAGGGCCCAGGCTCCGCTGGGAAGCAGTGGGTGGGTGGCCGAGGTCTGTGTGAAGGATGGTTGCCATTTCTGGTGGCTCAGGTAAGTGGGTTGAAGAAGAGTGTGGTTGGGGTCTCTTGAAGGACACAAGACAATATTGAAAGGAAATAGACTCTTGCGAGTGCTTTGCAAAGTGTGGCCTGTGGAGCACGTCCAGCTGTCACCCGGGGGCTGGTTTCTGTGCAGGCCCTGCCCCCTGTGCTGACCTGGTCTTTACAGGAAAGGGCCTGGGTCTGACCTCTGACTGCATAATGGAGAGTGGACAAGGGGGATTTATGTTATTACTTCCCCTTGATGTAGCCCACTTCCGGGAGTGTAGCTGGGGCCAGAAAGTGGTGTGCAGGCTGGGAGAGCCGTGAGGGCATGGCACCTGCTCCTCTGTCTGTCTCTCTGACCCCTGCAGGCCAGTGTGGGGAGGAACTTTCACTGTGCACCTGTGTAAGCTTGAGGAACGGCTGACCATTGGTGCTTCTCTTTGAAATCCACAGAGCAGCCAGCCAAACGTAGAAGGCTGGAGAACAGTGTGGCCCTGGCTGGAGCGGCTCCCGGCACAGAAGAGGACACAGGGCTCGCTGAGAAACATGCAGCTGTGGATGTTGAGACCCCTTCAAAGCAGAAGGAGAAGGCGGCTGCCCTGAAGCGGGACATGCCCAAGGTGCCGCACGACAGCAGTAAGGACAGCATCACTGTCTTTGTCAGCAACCTGCCCTACAGCATGGGGGAGCCGGAGGTGAAGCTCAGGCCACTCTTTGAGGCCTGTGGAGAGGTGGCGGAAATCCGTCCCATCTTCAGCAACCGCGGTGACTTCCGAGGCTACTGCTATGTGGAGTTTAAGGATGAGAAGTCGGCCCTTCAGGCCCTGGAGCTGGATCGGAAGAGTGTGGAAGGGAGGCCGATGTTTGTCTCCCCTTGTGTGGATAAGAGCAAAAACCCTGATTTTAAGGTATGCCGTGGGGCAAGGATTGCCTTTTGCAGGGCAGGGGAAGCTGCTTCCCCTGCTGCACCTGGGTTTACACCAGCCACAGATAGCTTGGCTCTCTAGGAGCTGCACTTGCGCCTGAGCCCAGGTCTGACTTGGGGCTCGGCCCTTGGAGGTTTCACTGGCTGTCTTAATATTGATAATAAAGCTTGGAATTGCAATGACGGCCACTTTCCATGGAAGCTCAGTAGTGAGACACAAGAATGCTAAATGTGCCATAGATGACCTCAGTGACTCCTCACCAGAACCCTGTAAGTGGCTGCTTCTTTACTCTCTGGTACTGGAGATTGAACCCAGGGTCTTTGCACTGGGCTTCTTCGCCAGGCATTTACTTTTTTAAAAATTTTGAGACAGGGTCTTGCTAAATTGTTCAAGCTGGGCTCGAATTTGCCTTAGCCTCCCAGGGTAGTAGAATTACAGACATGTACCATCACACTTGGCTTCAAATGTTTGCTTCTGTGTTTTCCATTTTAAAGGAGGAGGCCTGGACAGGTTAAGTGATTTGCCCAGGAGACCCCGTTAAACAAATGTCTGCCCAGGCTTGGCCATGGCTGCCTAGCTGAGTGTGTCCAAATCATGGGTCCCCTGCCTCTGCTGCAGGTGTTCCGGTACAGCACTGCCCTGGAGAAGCACAAGCTGTTCATCTCAGGCCTGCCCTTCTCCTGCACGAAGGAGGAGCTCGAAGACATCTGTAAGGCGCATGGCACTGTGAAGGACCTCAGACTGGTCACCAACCGGGCTGGCAAACCAAAGGTCAGCATCCGTGCAGATGGTGCCTGGTCTCCTGAGGTCAGGCAGACTCATTTCTACATTGTTCAGGATTATTTAGTGCTAGGGTGGGTTCCTGGTTTGCATAAGAAACAAATGATAATTGAATGGAAAAATAAGCACATTGCTCCACTTCCATTTTGAATCAGGTAAATCTTTTGTAGCTAAGTGTACTAAAAAGAAGGTGTTTGGAAAATTGTCAAAATTTATAGGGCCCAGGGCTGGGGATTTAGCTCAGTGGTTCCAGCGCCCGCCTCACAAGCTCAAGGACCCGAGTTTGATCCCTGGTACCAAAAAAAAAAAAAATGTATAGGGCCCACATTGTGGACCCCTGGGGCTGGGGTCAGCACTGTGGCCAGAGGTGGGGGCATTTAGGTTGGGTGCCCTGTGCTGCAGTCATCTCTGCTCTTGCTAGATTCCTCCTTATTGGACTTAGCCAGTTTCCTCAGGTACCCCCATCTGGCACCCCACCCTGTGTCCTGTTACATCCTTTTGCACTACATTGTTTTATTTTTTGGGGGGTGGATCTTACTCTTGCCTAGGCTGGCCCCAAACAGTTCTCCTGCCTTTGCCTCTAAGTAGCTGGGACTACAGTTATGTGCCACTGTGCCTGGCTTTATTGTACCGCAATTTGAGTAGTGGTGTTTTAAGCATGATTTTGGATTCCCTTTTGCCCTGTTCTCGGGAGTGGCCAAAGGGACAGGAGACACTGGGGCCCCTGGGCTGCTTGCCCTCTGTGCAGGCCACCAGACTGATCCTCCATCTCTCTTAAGACACAGGACGCTAACCATGAAGGGCTTTGGGGTGTTAGAAACAGCCATAAGGAAGCCGGGAGTAAACCCGGGCGCAGAGCGTGGCAGTGGTGGGAGGGGTGCCTGGCCAGCTGCTTTCCCAGGGAAGCCAGGCCTCCTGCCCTGTGTGAGGAGGTGGCATCCTGGGTAGGTCTGCAGCGTCTGAGTGGCTCTGGATCTCCCCGTTCAGGGCCTGGCGTACGTGGAGTACGAAAATGAATCCCAGGCATCACAGGCTGTGATGAAGATGGATGGCATGACTATTAAAGAGAATGTCATCAAAGTGGCAATCAGCAATCCCCCTCAGAGGAAAGTTCCAGAGAAGCCGGAATCTAGGAAAACAGCAGGCAGCCCCATGGTGCCGCGGCAGATGTATGGAGCGTAAGTGTTTGCGTGCTAGTCATGGGCCCGCACTGGCTGTGGAGGGCTCTCCCAGGGCGGAGTAGTTTCCCAGTAGTGTCGTGGGTGAGGCGAGAAAGCTAGGGCCTGCTGCTCCTGGTCCTGCTGGGATGGGCCCCAGAGCAAGTCCCAGGAGGGCGCAAGCCAGTTTGCACTTGTCTCTTATGCAAGGTCATTTTTTAAGGCAGTTATTAAGTTCCCCTTTGCTGCTTAATCTGTGTTTAATACAAAAACCTGACAACTGCATGCTTGCCATTCTACAGCCGGGGCTGTAATCCCTAGAAAGCCTTCGCTTTTCACTTGATAGGGATGAGGCAGCGAAGTGGCACGGTTACTCGGTGGGGCTGAAGGATGCCAGCCCTCTTTGTCCACTCTGTATGTGAATGTGGCCAGAGTTGTGGACTAGGCAAAGCTTGCCGAAGCCTTTTTTACTTACTAGCCAGAGCCAAGGACAGAGGGGCCATCTCATTGTTCCTGTTTTTTATTTTTATTTTTTATTGTTTTGTTTTTTATGTGCTGGGAGTTGAACCCAGGTAAAGGAAGTGCTTTATCACTGAGCGTCTTCTGCCCAAGACATCAGAATTTTTTTTTAAACAGTGCTAGAGATTGGACCCAGGACCTCCTACATTCATACATACAAAGAAAACACTCTACCACTGAACTACGTCCTCCCCAGCTGGGACATCAGAATTTCTGAAAGCTCTAGGGGTAACCCTAATGGACAGCAGTTTGAGAACCATTGTTCAAAATCACTGCCCTGCTGCATTTGGACTTTCTAGTTTTCTCTTTGGTTTTCCCAACCATTCTTTCTCAAGCCTAGGGCAAGGGAAAGTTACCCAGTTTGCTTTTTCTTTGTCATTTCAGCACTTTGTGAATTGAAACAAACATTTTCAGGTCATAGTCCTGAATGTGACCCAGGAGAGCTTTCCTCACCTTATCTGCTATCTAGGGATGCATTATGAGCTTCCCATTTTTTATTTTTCATCTCTCAACTTTGGATAATTTGAAACTGTCCTAGCTTATTTTCACAGTTAAGCCACAGCCACAGGTGCTTGCTGGGAAAGGTACTTTCAGTGTTTACTCTTTTGCAGGCGTGGGAAGGGAAGGACCCAACTCTCTCTGCTGCCTCGTGCCCTGCAACGACCGACCTCTGCCTCTGGGCAGGCTGAGAACGGCCCTGCCCCACACCCAGCAGGTGCCACCTCCACAGCCTGCGAGGCACCCAAGATGTCCAATGCTGACTTTGCCAAGTTGCTTCTGAGAAAGTGAATGGGACTCCGAGACAGGAAATGCCTTACTTCACTCCGGCCAGGCAGACCACCCACTGCCCAGCGGCACCCTGGAACGGACGGCAGGGCTGGTGCAGCATCTCCGGGCTTCTAGGGACTCCTGTGGCTCAGACAGAAAGGGACAGAAAGAGAAAGCTTGTTCCAAGTAAAGAGCTGATGAGTGCTTCCTCACATTGAGGGCAGGCGGAGAGGATGATCACTTCCCAGGCTGGCCCGGGCTGGCTGGCCCAGCACACTTTTGTGTTCTGAAGAGTGAAGAACAGAAGTGGCACTGGAACATGGCTTCTGCGACGCACTTGTTCCAGTGTTTTCGGCTCTTTTTATAAGATAACTTCTCTCACACCTTGCGTAGCACCTGTGCCCATCACTCTTAATTTTTAAAAGACAAAAGACGAAAGACGAGGTGGGAGATGCTAGTGACTCACCAGCATGGCCTACTTCAGTCAAGGTGGCAGGGGTGGGGGGTCACATAAAACACTGGTGGAGTTTGGTTCAAGGAGGTTGTGCGTTTTTTCTATTATGTATTTGTAAATAACACATCGGCTGGTTTTATGTTTCCTACAAGCAGGATGTTTGTCAACACTTGTTTTATATAGGGATTCTGAGCGCCCCCTGCTGTGGACCATTTTCTTTGCCTAGTGAGTAGTGATCTGTATTTTATCTAAATGTTGTTTCTTTCCTTTGGCTCTGTTTAAATGCCATATCAACTGCAAACTTCAAATGCAAAATATTTAGCTTTATTAAAAATATTAATATTAAAAATGTCTTGCCCAGTGGTACCACGTTCCCAAGTGGTTTGAAATGGGTGTACCTTGCTTTACCTAACAGTTGTGTAAATAGAATTTTGTAAGTCAAATCCTGTTGTCACTTTGGTTTAAATTATTTCAGCAGTGATGTGTCTTTAGTTTTAAACTTGAAATTACAGCAGTTGACACTTGAGCTTTTTAAGCTTTTTTTACCTCTATGATGAAGCATTTGTTACTTTGAGATCAGCACTGCCAGGTCAGTAGGGGAAACTGTAAAGGCACTTCAGAGAAAGAACATCAGGGGATCCTTGTATGTGTCACGGAAATAATCTCATCTATGTTTTTGTACGTTTCAGTTTCTGTGGATCAGTCAGCTTCCTAAAATTTTTTTCAAATTTAACATTTTTCTAATGGAAAAGTTTGAACACATAAAAAGTAGACACAACTGTAAAATAAACTCCCATGTGCCCATCAGTGAGCCTTGGTAGTCCTCACCCCGGGCCCATCTCACTGTTGTTTCCCGGCCACCTCCTTCCCATGTTAGGGACATCAGCACTAGCCAGGGACACCCAGCCAGGGATACGGTTATATGTAACCATTAGCAGTATAATTCCTTCATGTCTTCAGCTACTCAGAGCTCAATTTCCTATTGTCTAATATCAGTTTTCCTTCCCTGTAAACGATCACCAGCTGATGTGCTTCTTAAATCTTTTAAAATGTAGGTTTCTCTCCCTCCATCTTTCTTTTATCATAAACATTTTCTCTAGGTGCTACTGTTGGATTACGCTCTGGCAGTAGCTTTTGGATTCCCCTGGGGCACGAGTTGTGGGCTGGTGATTGGGTAGATGGGAGGGAGCCTGTGGCCTGTGCCCTGGCCCGGCCCTGAAGATCATGTGCATTTCTACCCTGTGCAGGTTAAGGTGGCTTTCCTTTTCCTACTCCCCAGGAACTGTTTTGTTCCAGTGACTTTATGCTTTCAACATGGGCTGTGACGGGGTGAGCCTCGACTTGAGCAGGATCCTAAATTTAGGTGTAAGGTTCTGACTTCTAGAAATGGGCTTCCTGGGACACATGTGAGTTTAGGTGTTTTTTTTCCCAGAAAAATCAAGAACTGATGGTCAACAGAAACATGAATTTTTTTTTTTGTATTTTAGTAAAAGATCAGTAATTCAGCCCCATTAACTCAGGCAGTTTAGGCAGCTGGATCTATCTTGCTTGCCTATTGATTTGACCACATTGGATCTTTTCTTTCCCCTGAACTGTTCCTCTGACAGTTCAGAGTTAGTTGCCCTGTAGTTCCTTGGACAAATGGAAATGCTTCTTGAATAAGACAGCAAAACCTCAAACGTTTGTATAATAAAATACTTTATTAGGATCAGTAACTTGTTAAAATGATATCCTTCACATACAACTAAAGTGCAAATTCTCTCACTAAAGGACAAAGCAAGCACTCCTGTCGGCCCTCCGTGCTGTGCTTAAAGAAACTAGACAGCAGAAGAGCTCAGGTTTAAGAAATGCCTCAAGGCAGCTCTACTATGAGAACATTTTTTTTCCAGCTTGGAGTAACTTATTTGGAGCCATTTCATACAGCTTTTCACTTATTTTTCTTAACCTTCAAAAAAGTGACTGACTCTGCCACTTACACAAATGAGTAACGGTATACACATCTGGGAGACGGTGAGCATCAGGAACTATATGTAAAAATCAAAGATGTGACACCGCTTCGTGTATGGTCTCCGAAGGGCAGCGCAGAGTTCATCGTGCAGGCTGTCACTGGGAAAGGGAAGCTAGTGATTTCCCGCTTTTCTGACTGGAAACAGCAGCAGGTGAACTGGCCCATGTGCCATTAAAGATTTCCATAGGTGACAACTTAGATACCTGGCTGGCTGTGTTATACATAACATTTTGTCATTCTACAAGATGCTAGAAAAGTAAGCCAATTGGAGACAATCTCGCTTCCCCAAGGGGGCCACTAGACGGTACAATGGCAGTACGGTCAGCGAGTGGACGCAGCTAAACAAAGGGACACACCGGCTGCGGTCAGAGGTGATTACTTGGTTCTAAGTCGTTATCAGAGTGCTGCTTTGGGGTGACGTGGTGTCTTTCTCACCTATGTTTGGACTCCAACTGCAGAAAACTGGGAGCAGAGGGCAAAGTGGCTTGGCAATGTGATGCAGGTTTTGGGCGACGAACCCAGAGAACTAGATCAGTGGTGGAGAACCTGTGGTGTGAGTGCCACAGTGAGCTGTTTGTTCTCACTGAAAGCTCTAAAAGGTTCGCCATCACTGCTTTGGATGAAAACATCTGGTCTACATTGCTGTGAATGAAGGGCAAGGGCAACACTGCTACACAAAGAAAACCAAGCTGACTGTCGTCCTCTCCTTAATTAGAAAAATAGTCTATATGAAAACATAGCCTCGGGCACCTGCATCTGCAAGTTATGTCTCCAAGAGTCGCCCTGGAGGTAAGGTACCTAACTAGAAATGTCAACATTCATGTCAAGGCTTACAAGTGCGCTCTACCAGGAAAGGCCACCACATGGAAACGGTGGCAGGGGCACAGAGACCTGAGAGCGGCTGTCATTTCTCAGACCTGGGACAGGTCCTCCCCGGGAGTGGGGTGACAGTGGCTCCAGAGAAAGACTTGAAGGCACTCTTCAGTGGCTCTGGGCCTTGTCCTCCTACTCCGGCATCCTTTCCAGAACCTTGATTCTGGTCACACACAGCATCGGTGCCTCCAAAGCATGTGGGGCCACCGCTCACACGGGCCACTGGCGGGCCACAGCAGACACACTACATGGCTTGCTCAAAATAAATAACTTCACTGCATTATAAGTTATCTTAGATACAAGGCTTAATAATTTAGTTTTTTTTTTAACTAAAAAATTTTTGGAGGTAATGAACATTTAAAGGTTTCTAGACCTGATAAGTTTCTTCGATCCTGTCCCGGCTTCTCTTGTTGCGCAAGGTGAACGGACAGGGCTAGGGCTTCACAGGAAGCATCTCCTTGAACCCAGAATGGTTGGGTTTGGCTTCCGGCAGTGCCACTGAGTACTCAGTCGTGGCAAAAAGCAGGGTGTCCAGGGTGGTCTCAGTGCACTTGGCGATGAAGCGGATGAAGGGCCTCACGTCGCCCTCGTTGGCGACCTCCAGCACATGGTAGTATTCGGACCTCTGCTCCTTGCGGATGGTGATGGGTGGGTAGCCCGCCTGCATCAGGATGAGGTTCATGAGCAGGCGTGAGGTCCTCCCGTTGCCGTCTATGAAAGGGTGGATGTAGACAAGTTTGTAATGTGCTAAGGCTGCGAACTCCACTGGGTGCAGGTTCATGGCATCCTCAGAGTTGAGCCACTGTATGAACTCCTGCATCTGCTTCTCCACGTCCTGGGGATGGGGGGGGACATGGTGTCCCACCAGGACCTGGGTCCTGCGAAACCTGCCAGCTTCCACTGGATCCACGTACCCCAGCACCCGCCTGTGGATCTCCAGCATGTCGTCGATGGTGACGGAGCCTATGCGGGAGACCAGGGTGGTGTTGACATACTTCATGGCCGCGTGCATGCCGATGACCTCGTTCTGCTCCTCCAGGCTCTTCCCTGGCACAGCGTAGCGCGTCTCCAGGATATGCCTGATCTCGGAGAGTGTGAGCGTGTTGCCCTCGATGGCGACCGTGTGGTAGATGTGATGGTAGTACGTCTCCTCCATGACCCTGCGCAGCGCTGAGTTCCCCTTGGGGATGGACATCACCTTCCTCACCTTGCTGTCGATGATGCTGAAGTATCTCTGGTCGATCTCCTCCACGAGTGGCAGCGTCCGGTCCCGGTTGACCAGGGCCTTCTCATGGAAGGGCGAGATGGTCAGCGCTCTGGTGTACAGGTGATCTGCTCGGATGATGTCCTTGTCTTCTTCCGAGAAGATGCCGTACTCATTGAGCGCATCCACATAATCCGGGTCCATCTTGAGTGCGTACAGGAAGAGCTTGTGGGCTTTCTCCCGCTTGCCCTGGCGCTTCATTTCCAGGGCTTGATTCAAAGCTGCTTTGGCTTCCAGCCTGCCTGCTAGAGAAAGCCAAAGCAGCCTGTCAGCGAGGGCGGGATAGCAAAGGATGTCCAGGCGCTGTCCCCGGGTAGGCACCCTAGGACACCAGGATCAGCCCACTTCCTCAGCCTCGGCCCATGACACTGTGCCCTGCAGCCCTGTGATGTGCTACGCTGGGCAGCCTCTCTGTGTCCCAGCCTCTTCTCTGCACCCTTGCCACACAGGGAAGTCCACACATTTCCTGTCCCTGTGCTTTCCCTACTGTGTTGCCCTCCCCTGTTTAAACCCATTGGTTCAATTTTGGCCCCGAGGGGACACCTAGTGATGTCTGGAGATGGTCTGGTGTCACCCTTGGGGACTGTGTGTGTGCTGCTGGGGCTCATGTTGCTGCTCCCCATCTTGCCATGCACATGGGAGGCTCTGGAGGAGGAGGAACCTGCTCTGGGTCCAGCCCTCTTTTCCCAGCCCCATTCTTCTGGCGTTGGTCAGCCACACGCCCTCAATGTCTTTGAGTCCCACTTACAATCAGGGCTCAGCTCAGGCCTCCTGCAGGATGTCTTGGTGGTGAGCTCCTCAGCGCACCGAGCTTCCTGTCACCACACCGGGGACATGCTGTCTCAGGCACCTGCTGGCTTGTCTAGGCTGGGACCTCAGGGCTGACTTTCCACTACTGTACCTGCCCCGCAGGACACAGCAAGCCATCCTGCAAATATCTGTCTGGTCAGCAAGCACTGAGGAGGGATGGCCAGTCTGTCTTACCTGGAGATGCCTTGATCTCGACCACCAGCAGCCCTGCGTCCCGGGAGGTGATGCTGAGCTCTGTGGAGGGGCTGGTGCGCTTGGTGACAGCATGCTGTGCCCTGTCTAATTTGTTCCTGAGCAGGTAGAAGCCTTTGAGTATGGCCAAGCACTGTTCCTCCATGGCTCCCAGTGGCAGCAGCAGGGCCAGCAGTGACCCCAGTGCCATGCTCAGCAGCATAAGCCACAGGAAACGGCCCCAGACGGAGACCCATTTAGGTTCAGTCACTGCCATCAATGAAGCCATTGGCACGAACATCATCTGGACTCAGGGCTGGGCCCCGTGCTCATGTCCACTTCAGCTGAGGAAGAGCAGGATCTGAAGGAAACAAGAATTCCAGGCATTAGGCAGAGAAAAGGCCAAGTTCCCCAGGCCTAATCACTGGGGGCCAGGCAGTGGGGAAGCCCAGGAGTGGCCCTCCTGTGGAGAGTGGCCAGCCTGGAGGGGAGTTGACTGAAGGCATGCTGCTGTTCCCCAACATTTACTGAGCACTTGCTGCATGCCAGGCCCTGCACTGAACATCCTACACATGCCTCCTGTGAGCCGTTTTCACTCCACTCTGCCAGTGAGGAAATTGAGGCTCATGGAAGCGAAGTCCCTTGCCCCAAGTCACCCAGAAAGCAGGAGAGACCTGAAGGCAGGAGCCCCGAGGCTCCAAAGCACACCCCTTCACCAGAAATCAACACCTGGGGTCTGGGACCTATGCACACGCCTGGTGGGCCTCGGCTCTAAGGCCCGTCCTCTGAGAAGTGCAACTGCCCAGTCGCCCGGTTATTTCTGCACGGGTTGGTGCCTCTTCCGCCCCTCACCTTGATATTCAGCTGCAAAGCCCACAAGGCTGTCCCTCTGTGGCCTTCCTTTCCCCGCCTGTCTACCGGGGACCCCAATGAGAGGTTGGGCAGCTGAGCATCTCAAAAGGAACTCAGGCCTCGGCCAGAGAGGATGGCTGCTCTACCTCAGTGACAAGCACGTGCTGGGGCTGGCAGTGGGAGTGCAGGGCCAGGTGTGCAAACTCCGTGATGCTAACAATAAGCATTTATTGGGCACCGAGCTGGGCACTAACCTCACAGTACCTCATCTAATCCTCACAGCACCCTGTGAAGGAAGAGTGACCTATAGTTCTCCGTTACAGATGAGGGAACCTGAGGCATGGACAGCAAGTTAAGTTCCAGAAGACTTACTGCCAGAAAACAAAGGCAGGCATGAAACCAAGGGCTCGGAAACCACAGGCTCCGGCTCTCACTCTCCACCTTATTATTCTGTGAGGCTCTGGGCCGCTCTGGTCCAGAAATGCCTGACAAGACAGGGTCGGGGTTGTCCGCGAGCCCGGCTGGAGGCCACAGGACATCCGAAATGGCCTGGGTGTGCTGTGGGCGAACAGGTGGCCCCCAGGCCTCCGGAAGAACAGGATGCAAAGCCAACCTGTAAAGGCAAGGCCTACGCAGGTGCCAGGGAGGAGTGTGCTCCGGCAGGCGCCAATCTCGCGGCCTTTACTTCCTTAGAAGGGGGTAAACTGAGGCTCGGAGAGGCCAAAGGACCGCTCTAAGAAGCGGTCTGCAGAGCCGGCTCTTTGAGAACCCCGCCCAGGGCTCGCGGCAAGTCGCACCCTCCAGCGCCCCTCGGGCTCACCCACTCCTCACCGCGCGGGTGCCGGGCCTTCCAGCCGCCTTCCGGGCGCTTGAGGACTACTCCGCAGGGGTAGGCTCCCAGATCTCCTCCGTCTGCCTTCTGGCCCCGCCCCCCACGACTTCCCATTGGGCCGCCCAACATACTGTCGCAGCGGATTGGCTTCCCGCTCCTGACGGTCCTTCGTATTTCCGGGTTTTCGCGTTGACCTCAGTTTCCTGGAGAAAGGCGCGCCGTGGGCCACTCCCATTGGCTGTCCCTTGTGTTAGTCTCCTGGATGCAGCAGCGAATAAGCAACGAGGGGCGGGGCCTAGGCCGCCTGCGGAGAAGTGATCGCGGAAAACCGGGCGTGCGTGCGGGATTAGAGGGTTGCGTTGGTGTCAGTCTCAGGAACTTGCTTCTTCAAACAGAACTGCTCAAGTCTCCTCGTCCCGAGACTGCTCTCGTGTGCCTGTTTGGCTGTAAAATGAGGCTCCTGCTGGTCTCCACTTCTCTCCCCTTGTTGGTCTTGACTTTGCAGCCCTTGCTTTTAGACTGCCCTGTGCTGTCGGGCTTGGCTGCATTTTCCCTTTTTCTCCCTATCTCTGTTTCGTGTCTTCGTTGCGTAGGTATTTTTTTTCCCCCTTTCTGAAGTACTGAAGATTGAACTGAGGACCTTTCCACTGAGCCACACGCCAGACCTATCATCATCATTAGACAGTCCCATTAAATTGTCCAGGCTGGGCTCAAACTTGCGATCCTCCTGCCTCTGACTCCAAGAGTGCTAGAATTACAAGCGTGAGGCACCACGCCAATTCGTATCCTCTTGAGAAGGGCCTGGCTGGTTCTTTTGGTTTCCTGAGATGGCTTTTTAAAACCTCTTATCTTAACTCACAAAGGATGGAATTAAACAGGTAGGGACACACTCTAGAAAGCTAAGATTGTTAAAATACTAGAACAGGTTCTGGAGTCACAGAGCTCAGATTCAGACTTTGCCATTCGCAGTCTCTTCTCGAGCCAGTTGTTCCAGCCCCATTACACCCTCAGTAAGATGGGGACAAACAGCCTGTTTGGCTTTTGCCCTCAGGGATTTGCAGAGGGCTTGATGCTTTTGGCTATGACCCTCACATGATCCGGGGAGCTTCACAGCTGTGGGTTCACTTCCCGGGTTCAGCGCTTGTGGACAGTTACATCCAGCAGGTGATTCAGCCTTGCTGATGGGAACAATGTGACTGTCAGTGCCTCTGCAGGATTTTGTGTGAGTGTGCGCATCCAGCCCAGAGTGCATGCTTGAAGGGTATCACCTCTCCACAGTTATTTCTAGTCAAGACACAAGTCATTGCTCCTTTAATTCTTTTTTTTCTCATTAAGTTTATCGGTACTTTTTATTTTTTAATTTTTTATTGGTATTTTTTAGGTATACAGTATAGTTACGTGCATCATTGGATCTTGTACCTCTACATGATGTATCTTGGTTCTTATTTTGCTCCTTTCATTCTTGTTTGCAGAAGAAAGTGCTAGAGCTGCCCAGGGGCTCCGATCACGGGAGAGACCCCCACACCTGCATAGGTCTCATCCTGATTGTAGTTTAGCGAGGTCCAAGATGTGGTGTCCGGGCCAGGCTGGAGTTTGGGCTGATGACCAGAGGCATGCGCTCCTGAAGGACCCCGGGGGATGCTTAAAAGTGAGGGAGCACGCAGTTCCCAGCCTTGCCTGTTGGGTGCCCTTGAGACTGGGTCCGCTTTCCTTAACTCCCAGACCTACAGGGAACTTGGATGCTGAAGGCATGTCGTTGACATGAATTTGAAACCCCTAGTTCAGGAAAACCTCCAGAGTTCTTAAGAAATAACACCAGCATGGTAGTTCTCTTGATGGCTTGTTTCTAATTGTTTGAACAGAGGTCTGGTACGTTGCTGTCTTGGAATCCTCTGGATTTCACTTTTTTTTCCCAGCTTTAGTTGAGTTTATTGGTACATTTTAGGTACACAGTACAGTTACATTCATCACTGGGATCTTGTACCTCTACATGACAGGTCTTGGTTCTCATTTTTTCCCCTTGTCCCTGCCCTCCCTTCACTCCTCCTCCCCTCCCCATCTACAAACACTTTATCTCCATCTTTTCATTATCTCACGTCTTTTTCTTTTCGGATTTCACTTTTGATGGTTCAGGTAGTCATCACTGTACAAACCTTCCCCAGAGGAGGGACTGCTGTGCAGCAGGCAGGTGGACGCGGTTGTTGTAGCAGAAGACAGGGCTGCTCTGGGGTCAGGCAGATGTCCATCCAGTTGCAGAGGCCACCATTTTGGGCAAGTCACTTAATTTCACGGAGCTGGGTATCACTGGGCATGGAGCTCTTCCTTACACAGGAATAAAGGAACACACACACACACCCACACACACACACACACACACACGTATACATATTCACCACTTTTAAAGGCACTCTCCTCCCTTTGTTTCTTCTCCGACACCAGTGTGGACTCTTTAAGCAGTTTAGGCCACTGAGAGCGAATCCAGCAGCTGGGAATGGCTCCTAAGCACAACTGCTTGGGTGTGAGACAGCAGGGAGAGGAGGGGCGTGTGGTGAATTTGAGGACGCAGCCTTGTCCAAAGCGGACAGCAGCTTCTCAGCTCTAGCCCACATTTCTTATGCTGGGTTGCAGCCCATCTGTTGTGGACAGATTTTCCAGTTTTTCAAAAGCAAGGCCAGGCTTGGATTTTTTAGCAGAATCTCCAGATTTTTAAACAGTGGGCATGTCTGCCTGTTGGCTACTGGGGGCTGCCAGATTGTCAGCCCTGTTTTAGGCTTTTAGAATGGGCGGGGAAGGTGGGGTTCACACAGGAAGAAACACAGATGAGTCGCTTAGCAACGGATCACGCCACTGTCTATGGACAGCAGGGGGCGCTAATTCACTTGGCTTCGCATCTCTCGGATCCCTTTGTCAGGTGACTACTCTCAATTTTCTTGATTTTTGTCTGCATTCGGCTGTGTTGAATGCACAAAATATGGTTCCTGAAGCGATATTGAAAAGTTGGCTTTCTCCATCTTAAGCATTCTGTATTAAGAGGAAATTACCTCCCCGTGGTCCGTGGAGGAGTTTTCTAAAAGCTTACCTTGGCACATGACAAAGAGGCTAGAAGGTGGCAGCGCTGGGAAATGTGTCCATTATGCAAAACAAAGCACAACACAGCAACCTTCTGCAGCTTTAAAGAATAACAACTGAGCACTTCTAGCAAGCACAGGCAGATGTTATGGCTTAGAAGAAACAAAACTCCCAACATGAGGCTGTATTGTCTTGGGCTGGCTCCACGATTTCTCAACTTCATTATAAGAAAAGAAGCCATACGTGTTCCTTCCGTTCTCACTCATACCTTCCTCTCACCCCCAGCCTGGGTCTTCTTCCCTCCTCCATCTTACTCCTACTGCAGAAGAAAAGGCACTCCCCCGCCACAGCTGAGTCTCCCTGTACCTGCTGGCATGGGGCCCAGTTCTCGAGGCGTCCCTAAGGGACAGTGTCTTGGGGACCCCATATACATGTTCCTGGGCTGATGGCTTCTGGGCTTGCCTCAGAATGCTTTGCACGTCACGTTGTGTTAAATTCATTTTTACCAGGATTTTCAAACACAGAGAAGCAAATAACTTGTTTTCAGAGCAAGTCATCTGGGGGAAAAGAGTACTTCCAAAAAATGATGCGTAAGTGCTTTTCTGTTGTTGAGTAACCTACTTTATTTCTTAACAGCAAGATGAGATCTTTATAGATATACAAGGAGGCACACGGGTATGCGCGCGCACACACACACAAAATGAGAAGAAAAGAAGACCCATCTAGGATTCTACCGGAAGTGTCTTCCTCACTCTCCTTCCCTTTCCCCCTTGCTGTGGGGCTAGGGTTGGAACCCACAGCCCCACACATGCCGTATAAGTGTTCTACCACTGAGCTACATCCTCAGCCCTTTTGAAAAAAATTGAGACAGGTTCTCACTGAGCTCTCCAGATTGGCCTCAGACTTGTGATCCTCCTGCCTTAGTCTCCCAAGTAGCTGGGATTACAGGCGTGCACCCCACTTCCTGGCATGTATATCTGTTTTTAAATGATCAAACATTTCAGACATCCAGAAGTCACAGGTAATACCACGAGTACCCATGTGGCTGTCACCCTGTTTAAGAAATACCACATTCTCAAAGCTCTGAAGCCACGTAAAGCTCCTCCCCGCACGTTCTTCCTTCTCACCCAAGTGTCATCTTGAGTGTTGTTGTTTCCATATATGTCCTTTCTCTGATTCATATGTATATATTTCTACATGATATATAATGATGTTCTACGTATTTTGACACTTGTATATACTCTATGTGTTTTGGTTTAAAATTATATTTTAGAGGGCCAGGGATTTAGCTCAGGGGTTCCAGTGGCTGCCTTGCAAGCTCAAGGTCCCAAGTTTGATCCCTGGTACAATATATATATATATGAATGACACATTTCCATTAATTTCTTTCAAAATCTTCTCCCTCACTTTGAGCACACTTTTCTGCCATCTTTCTCACAACTTTCTGAAGCTGTTTCACAAATCCTAATTATCTTCATGTCAGCCTCAATATCTTAAACGGATTTAAAATATTTATTTTTTTATATATAATAGATTTTTGTGTATGTCAGTACTCAGAGTGCTCATTCATTTTACGCTGCTGTGTAGTGTTCCACTCGCAGTTTTTTTCCTGCCTAGTTGTTGATGGGCATTTGGATAATTTCTAATCTTTTTCTGTTGCAAACAGCATTGCAGTACAACTGTTGCATAATTGTAGGGCACATGTGTGGAAGTTTTTCTAGGACAGAGTGTCTCCAAGAATCATCTGGAGAGTTTGTGAAAAGACCCACACACCTGGGCTGTGATCTAGACCAGTGAAATCTTCAACCTCTGTGATCCTTCTGTACGGTGGAAATCATCGTACCCCTGTGCTATGTCACTTTTGGCCTTTTATTGTATGCTAAGTAACCGATAGATATAATTTTACTGATTTTTTTGTAACAATGCTATAAGAAGATATTAAACCTAGTTGATGAAAGGTGAAACTGAGGCTCAGAGAAATTAGGTAATTAGCTCGTGGTCACGCAGTAAGCCAACAGGTGGTGCTGT